GCTGTGCGCCACGGATCTTCCGTCCTCGGATGACGGTATAATTGTCTCGTCAGTCAGGTAGGCAGGAAATGATAACCTTGGCATATCATCTCATCGAGTCGAAGTGTTGGTTATGTATTGGTTTCGTTCATTTTATGAGTAGGGGATTATAAAGGGGCTAGGATTATATGTTGGATTTCACGTTTGGTCGAGGCCGTCCTAGTCGACCGACGCTCGTTCGTACCGAGGAGATCAGCGCCCTCGGGAACGAACAACGTTCGGGTCCACTTGACGTTAGCCAAGCGTACCTATACTCCAGCGAGCGAGCAAACGCCCTCGGCTGACCTACCTCTGCAGTTGCATGTAAAAGCTTTCGCACGTGGGTCAGTAGCTCGGTAGGGATACACCCCTGAGGGTGGTGACAGCCCCTCAGGGAAGATAAGTTGTGCCCCACGAAAACCTATCCTGTCGTAGGGGACCGCGGGATGTATAGCTGGCGCACCCGGTTAGAGCGGCGAAGGGACAATGCGACCACGTCCGTCTCGGCGGTTCGCGGGATTATTTTTGCATCGTCCTAAGTTGTCTCTCGATTATGTTTTTCTAACTCTTGCGTGACATAGCCGGGAGGGCCCTCGTTCACGCGAGGGCCGATGCGCTCGACAGGTGGCGCCGTTCCCGGGGATGACGGCGAACTACCGTCGTCCCTGGTGGAACGACACTCGGGAAAAGGATGGTTATGGTGATTTTAAGTATTGTGTATTATTTGTTTGGATTGAAAGTAGTCAGTGGTTATTAATGTCTGGGAAAAGAAAGAAGGCAAGGTTTGGAGTGAATTATTGGAATCTATTTGACACTTGGACATGTGGGTTTGTCGTGTTGATTCTCTCAAGATGACGGGAGGAAATAGTGATCCCGCAAATAGTAATGCAGGGGATCGTCGCAACGATATTCTGGAACTCGCACGAGCCATTCGTGAGGCTGATAATCAGAAGGCATAGTTGCCGAAGGTTCAAGTTCCCCTCTTCGATGGCACCAATGCCTCAGCATGGGCGGACAAGTTTGAAGAATTGGGCAGTTGTTGCGAATGGTCGAGTGAGAAGATGCTTCAAATGGTGAAGCGATATTGTATGGTCGAGTACAAAGAGGAGGTGTCGGAGTTGGTGCAAGCTTTGCGCGACTGACCGGACTTCTAGGCCAAATTATTGGACAAGTACCAGTTGGGGGATCAACTGCTCGATCTGGCGGACTTACGGAAGGTTAGTCGTCGGAAGTTTGGTACGGCCAAGCAGTTTCTTACGGAGTTTGAGCGGGTTGCGGGCTTAGTGCCTGACCTTCCAGATAAGGATCGGTGCCTCATCTTCCTCGAAAATTTTTCGGAAGTTGAGCAGCGAGAACTGATGAGGGATATGACTGGGCGATACGACTGGCCAAAGATAACGGAAAATCTGTTGGCCGGAAGTTTCGACCAAATGCTTTACCGTCTCCTGAAGCAGCAAAAGGAGGACCGTGAGAAGGAAGGGGTAAGCGCGGACAAGGATCAAGTCGTTTACAAGACCCTGACTGACATGCGGAACATGATGGCAGACATGAAGGAGGAAAGGTTAAAGCTACAAGTGATGATGGTCCAGACGGAAGGGGGGAAAAGGAAGGGGAAAACTCTCGTAGTGGAGGAGGTGAGCAGTAGCAGCAGTGAAGAGGAAGATAAGGAGGAAGTGAAGCCCCCTCGAAAATTGACTAAGGCAGAGCGGAAGGCCCTGAATCAGATACGAGGAGGGCAAGGCACTAGTAAAAGGCAGCGGAAGAATAATGGAGGAGGTGGACAAGGAAGCAACCAGGAACAGGCGGCGCTAGCCCCTCCTCAGCAACCCCAACCTCAGGCAGGAGGCCGAGGCCGAGGTCGAGGTAGAGGACAAGGCACTGGGGGAGGCCGAGGAAATGGGGGCGGCCGAGGTAATTGGCAGAATTGTTTTTGCAAGTATTGTGGCCAAGATGGACATGGGATACGGTTTTGTCAGACCGTTACCAAAGATGAAAACGATAAGGTTATATATACGAATATCCGAGGCGAGGTCTACGACTTCGAAGGGAATCTCATCGATCCCAATGTGGAGGGAGGAATGAGAAAGGAAGCTTTCCGACGTATGGGGCGAGATCTTCCAGCAACTTTTCGACTGGCTTCTCCGGAAGAGGTCGAACAGATTGAGTTGGAAGCGACGATGGAGTCATTGATGATTGAAGATGTCAAGGCCGCGGATGAAAGGTTGAGCAAAGAGCAGGAATAGATACTTCAGCGAGCTCAAGCAGTGGTCGGAAAAATGACTCGGTGCAGGGAAGCTTTCGTTCAAGTATGCGCCGACATGAATGAAGAATGGTCCGGGCTTCCCCAAGTTTTTCTGTTTGGAGGATGGGACAAAGACGGCCAAGGAGGTCTTACTGATGTTACCGCATCGCAGCCTCGATCGTCGTCGGCAGGGCGTTTGATGGCCACCACGATCTTGTCCCGCCCTGCGCTCAAGCGACCTGCCACTGCTGGCCTCCCACAGGCTCGGAGGGCTCGAAGGTCACCGCGGCCAAGGGCAACGTCGGAAGAAGGGCCAAGTCAGCCTCGGGAAATCGAGACGATTTCGATTGAAGAAGACGATGACGAGGAGGATGAATTGTTGCGAGCCGAAGATGAGAGGCAGGCCAAACAACGAGCCATGGAGAGGGAGCCAGAAACGGGCAAGGACGACGTTGGGGAAGGAGAATTGAAGAAGAAGAAGCAAGTTTACACAATTCCAGTGGAACAAGGGCTAGATATTGAGCAGATCGTGGACCGAATTTTAGAAAGTCAGCGCGATTTGATCACGCTCAAGGAGTTCTTGGCCGCGTCGCCCAAAATCCGAGAGGAGTTCGGACACCGACTGTCAAGGAAAAAAGTGATGACGGTTAAGATGAGTGATATCTTTCCTCAAGAGATTAGTTGGGCTCCGCCTGGGACAAAAATGGACTGACACTGTGTGGCTACTGAGTTGTTGAAGGTGCAAATTGAGCCATGTGAATATTCAGCTCTCATCGATGATGGAGTTGAAATGAACATTATACGAGAAAGAGAAGCCATGGGGGCAAGAGTCAACATCAATCGAGCAGATACTGGATTTCTGGTGGGTGCAAGTGGGATAACTCCCTTTTGCGGAACGGCGAGTGACGTGACGGTACAAGTTGGTAAAGTCAAAGTGCGTTCTTATTTCTATGTGCTACCCAGGGTTGAGCATGCTGTGTTGCTGGGCAAAGCTTTTCTATGTCGATCAGAATCCATCATTTTTAACAAGCACGATGGTATTATGATCGTGGTTTTGTGTGACCCCGTATGTGGCTATTACGAGGTGCTGAAGTGTGAGAACACAGGACCAACTAACTCAAGGAACCGACTCAATCCGAGGTCCTACTCTTTCACGGAATCCGAAAGACTCAGAAGGGGGAAGGAATCCCTCGGAGAAGAGAGCGATCCCCATGAATTTTCTCTTGCTCTACCCAACATCTCTCAAACGAACGAGTTCGTTGCGACAGACTCGTCTGTGGATCCCAAGTTGGTCCAAACATTGACAGAGATTGTGGCAGGAGAAGGCGGGACTGGTAGGATGTATCTTACCTATCGGCCCGACAGGTCTTCTGAGGGTGACGCATTGGCAGAGCCAGAAGCCAAGCAAGGGCCTTTTTTAGAGGTGGACGACTTGGAGTTGGAGCGAAACGTAAGTACAAGAGAGTAGGCGAGAAAGCTCGGCCAGTGCCCGTCTTGATCACGCAAGAAGAAGAAGTGTATTATAAAGAAGAAAGAGAGTGGATCAGGATGAGGAAGGAAAAGAGTGTGAAGGCGCCATGTCGGTTGACAGAGGAGAGGATTAAGAATATGATCATTGGAGAGGAAGGGTCGCTTACTGAAAAGGAGGTGGACTTCCTTGTCAGTGTCATGAAGAAAACTCATCTCGCTTATGCCTTCGATGATGACGAGCGAGGGAGGCTTGACGTTGACATGATCCCAATGATCAGAATTGATACGGTACCTCACGAGCCGTGGAACATACGAGGTCCACGTTATCCAAATCCGGATGATCACCGTAGAGTCGTTGAATATTTGGATGGTAAAATTCGGACAAGGGTCGCGGATTACTCAAATGGGTCATATGCGTCCCCTTGGTTTTGTTTCATCAAGCCAAGTGGCGTATTGCGTTGGGTGCAGAACTTGCAAAGGCTGAACTCAGTGACGGTTCGTGATGCAGGAGGATTTCCGCATGCCGATCAGTTGTCGGAATCGTGCGCAGGCAGGCCTATCATCACTCTCATTGACTTGTACTCAGGATATGATCAATTCCCTCTCTATACGGCAGACAGGCCGATGACGGCCATGCATACGCCGAGGGGATTGATTCATATGTGTGTGGCGCCTCAGGGATGGACGAACGCCGTGGCGATTGTTCCGAGATATATGATGAGGGTCATGCAGCCGCTTTGTCCGGACGTGACCTCACCGTATATCGATGACTTGGCCATTCCTGGGCCACGTGTCAAGGACGAAACGGAGGTGCTGCCAGGCGTCCGAAAGTTTGTTTGGGAGCACGTTCGTGACGTGGAGAAGGTCCTGTCCAAGTTAAAGGAGTACAACCTCACTGCCAGCGGTGTCAAATCTCGGCATTGTATGCGTGAGGCGACTATCTTGGGCTTCTTGTGCGATGAGAAAGGCCGTCGGCCAGATTCCAAGAAGACAAACAAGATTCTGGAATGGCCGACTCTGCTTAAGTCCATCACTGATGTGCGCAGTTTTTTGGGGACTTGCGGATTCTGGCGCATCTTCATTCGCAAGTTTGCAGCAAGGGTGGAACACCTACGGAAGTTGGTGCGTAAAAATCAAGAATGGGAATGGGGTCCAAAGCAACAGGCGGTAGTGGACGATATCAAGGCACAGTTCCGAGAAGGAGGGTTGATCCTTGGGGTTCCATACTTTGACAATGACCCGAATCGGCCCTTTGTGGTTGAAACGGATGCAAGTCCCACATCATTGGGTGGAGTCCTCATCCAAAAGGATGGAGAAGGGCGAGAAAGGCCATTGAGATTTGAAAGTCGAACGCTGAATGAGGCGGAACGGAAGTATTCCCAATTTAAGAAGGAAACCCTTGCAGTGCTTCATTGCTTCAGGATCTTCCGAAACTATGTGTTTGGAAGACGGTTCGTCCTGCGGGTTGATCCGACCGCCCTGGCGCAGTCATTGAAGAATTATTCTCCCTCGGATCCAACTATTGCTCGATGGTTGATCTCTATCTGGATGTTCGATTTCGAGATCGAGCGTATTGCGGGAACACAAAATCGAGCCGACGGATTGAGTCGGATCGAGTGGGACTCCTCGAAAGATCAGGCAGAAGACTCGGTCCCTGTGGATGGGTTTTTGGAGACAGACGAGCAACAATTGAGTATCAATGTTTGGGAATACATTAGTAATGCGTCGTCCCGACCTGGGAAGTCTATCTGGAGTTCGCCGAGTTCTTATCAAAAGTGTGCAGAGCTGGTGATGAGGGAACCCTTTTTTGAGGAGGATCCTTGGGGTGAACGGTCTGATGCGCGGATGATAAGGTTGGCGTTGTCTGACCCAGTATAACTTTCGGAAGAACCTCTTATGATTGAAGGGGGGCATGAGCAAGGCGACGAAGTCCTCAAGATTTGTGGGGGAATGGTGTTTCTTGTTAATTCGTTGATACAGGAAGATCACGGTAAGCTAATGTTGGAAGAAGGGAAAGGCAGTGAGATCAAAGAAGCCTTTCGTGAGGAGGAATATGATGTGATTTATAAGAAGATTGGGCTTTGGCTGAATGGGGACCTGAACGAGGCAGAGATAGAGCCGGAAATAAGAGAGAAGGCAAAGGATTTTGTCATTTGACAGGGGCATCTTTTCAAAAAGTCTGACGATGGTATGCCTAAGAGAGTGGTGTGCGGAGTTCCCTGACAATTGGATGTGATTGCGGCTCTACATGATGGAGTGGCAGGTGGACATCAATCTGCACGAGTGACATTGAGAAAAATCCAACATCTCTATTTTTGGGACGGTATGGGTAAGATGGTGGCAGAGTTCTGCAACTCGTGCGTCCTTTGTCAGAAATGCTCGAATCTCCGCTATGCTGAGCCACTTAATCCACGATATGTGGTTGAGCCAGGTGCGGTTGTGCACCTCGACCTGGTCGTTATGCCACCCGGACTTAATGGGTACAGGTACATATTTGATGCGAGAGACAATCTTACCGGGTTTGTTGATGGGCGTGCAATCCGTGAGCGAACCGGAAAGATTTTGGCGGTGTATATCGAAGAGTTTTACCTTCGGTATCCATTTGTTCGGGAATTTGTGATGGATTGAGGAGGTGAATTTGCTCTCCTAAAAAGACTGGGAGTGCACTATAGTTATATCACTAGAGCGCACCCTCAGACTAATGCTCTGGTCGAACGTGGGCATGCCACCTTGACCAATTTGCTAGCTAAATGGTGTGTTGGCAAACCATCAACATGGTCCGTCTATCTCAGAGCTGCCATATTTGTTGAAAATATAACCATAAAACGGACTACTGGATATGCTCATGTTACGTTATGGTTTGGACGACATGCTACGTTTTCGATCGAGAGTTTCCTAACCACATGGCAAAAACTGGATATGAAGGTCATGCTTTCTACATAAGAGTTGCTAGACCTAAGGGTCAGACAAATAAAGGCGCCTGAGGAAAGAGTTGTAGAGGCTGCTGCTTCAACTGCGGACAGCAGACGGGCAGACAAAGTTAGATGGGATAAGCAACCCCGGGTTAGAAAGGAACTGTTGGAAGTGGGGGATATTGTCCTCCTCTATGACTCTTCTCTTGAAAAGCAGTGGTCGAGGAAATTAGATAATCGATGGATGGGGCCATATCGTAGCATTAAGAAAACAGAGCATGGGGCATATGAGATTGAGGAGATGGATGGAGCACGTGGGCGAGTTTGGGTTTCAGGCTCACGCTTGAAGAAGTTTGTTCATAGGGACTAAGATAATGCCTTACTTTTTTTATTAGACATTGATACCACTACCTAACTTGATTTTATGATTAAGTATTTGTAAGATATGTTTTTCATGCAATGGACAGACACATATGGACTTGTAATGAATTGCTTGTTGATGTCATTTTTGTCATTATTCTTCGTTCTCGAACAAGATAATTGATGTGCATAATAATTTTTTCAAGCTTTGTAAAGATGATTCTCTGAGCATACATCTTATTTATTTCTTATGTGGAATGAGTTTTGCTTGTGAGGGATTGATTTGAATCATGTGTGCAAAGTCGTGACTTAATGTGTAAAATGTGTATAAAATTTTGGAACATGTGACTTCCTAAACGATGAGTATTCGTTCTATAGGCACATGGTCTAATGAATATAATAAGTTTATATGTAATACCTAGTCCTTATTGTGTCTTGATATTCCTGAAAGATGTGAGCCTTGTAGGTGATAGTGAGGCTCGTGCCGGAACTCGGTTTCTGGTCCACAACGAGATGATGTCATTTTCCTTGGAAAGAGGGCGATGGCTACATTAACACCGAAAAGGAGGATGGTGTCGTAATCCTGTTGAGACCTCGCCTATGGCGGGGAGCGATCGCTGCTGATCACAGGGGTGAGGTTCGTCGTCTATCCTTGTGATATGCAGGGTCGCCGCGTCCTTATGATCCTCGTCTGACCAACTTGGACTATAGGGATGGGGTTGTCTCGCCCTATAAACGTGGAATTGACAGGGTTGCGATACTAGAATCAGAGGGAATGTGGTGAGGCTCGAATCTAAAGCGGGGCTTGATGTCGAGATGTTATCCTTTGTGGAGGATTACCACTCCTCGACGCAGTCACATGGAGTTTGGGGATATTAGGACATAATAATCCTGGGTATTTGTAAAGTTGCACAATCGGATGGGTTATGGAACTCAGGTAAAGGACTTAAATAAAAGGTTCTTGTATTGAATGGCTAGTTCAGATCATGTCTGAACGATTATCATAGGTTGGGTTATGGAGGCCTGTCAGGGGTTATTCCTGGCTCATTCTGGGAATTAGCTGAAGGTTAATACGGGACTTCCAGAAGGGATGGTGGAAAGTCGGAGCCTTGCTATTATCATTCCCGACAACCGTGACTGTAGTATAGTACGAGTATCCTTGTGTTACGTGGGAGGTCCAGGTTAAACTCCTGGCGACACGTGAGTGTATCGAGGTGTTGTGGATGCATCCCCATGGACATGAGAGACCCGGGTTAAATTCCCGGCGGTGATGGTTGCTTGCCCAGATGATTAAAATAATGTTTTCCAACCGAGTGAATTTTGTTAGCCAGAACCATTAGAATAAGGTCCTTTGAATTTTGGGCTTCCAGGGGCTGAATCTGGGCATGAGTTTCAAATTTTGGGCTTCCAGGGGCTGAATCTAGTACCCGACCGATGAGTGCAGATTGGTTGTGAATTTTGGCTTCGAGGGCATAACTCGTTTAATGGTAAGGAGTCCGTTTTTTCGGATATCCGCTTGTTAAAGTATCTGTGATTTTATTAAGATTGAAAGATACTAAGAGAAGTATTTGAAAAATTTTATGTTGAGAAGTACCGACCACGTGAACGACGTGGAAGTCGTTCAATGGGGCCCGGGAATGCTGTCGGGGCAGAAACCCTGACAAGGGTATCTACCCGTGTTTTTCAACGTCAGACGCTGTTTGACCTTCTCACTTAATTAGAAGACTTGATGAGATTGACGTTGCCAGAGTTTATGCAGACCAGCGCTATGACTGAAAGACTTGAACTTTTTGAACCTGACGTCGTCGACGCAGGACGACACCGACATCCGTGCGGGATAACGGGGGTCGGCACTGTTGTCCGCGG